GAAAGTAAATGTAAACAGAAGATTAAACGATAGCCCTACAACATTCTCAGAATAAATTTGGGAAATAGGTGTTATATCCATCTCGTAAAACCGTTGACACCCCACCCTCAGGCCTCAACCACCCACCAAATGAAACTAGTGCGCCCCTCCCCCTCCCCCACCCCTCGATTGGTTGAACCCACGATATGCTTCTGCGGGGTTACACACGCCAAAAATATCGTATACCTACGTGCACGTACCCACCTTTCCCCGTATACACACTCGCATACACTCATCCAACCTCACCCACACCCACTCCATTTAACACATCAACGCGCACAACACGTTCAAGCAATATGAGGTCTTAAACTACTTCTATATAGTTAAATTTTCTGATTGTCATCTCACTTGAGACTCGAACTTCGACTATAGTTGATAAAATGCGATATTTTCACACCTGAGTAATTTACCCCGTCGCCTTTGAAACAAAAATATTATCTAACTTTTGTATATTGAGTTTTGGATTACTAAATTAAAGTATTATATCCGTGTTCTTTTGCGGTCCCTGTAAATCTTCACGCATTATATATTTGTTAGAGCAAGACCGATAGATGTTACTGTGTCATATGAAATATCAGTTAATTCGAATAACGGGAATAACTATTTTGCAATGTATATCACTTTCTTTTGTAGCAATATGATAGGCATTCCTCTGACTTTAGAAGTGGAATCGTTTAAAGGACTGCATAATGTCAACAATTTGTAAGTAACTTTATCATCTCCAGGTGACCTAAGGTGTCGTTGGATTGCTTGTAGAGGTATGCTCGTAGCATGTGAGCGCCCATTTAAAGGCCACCGGGTAGTATGCTCCCCGCCAAGGGGGTAGAGAATCTGCTTTTTAATGTGTAGGATAATAGTTGAGTCCAGTTACTAGGGTAATAATAATTATCGTTAACATCACCATCATCATTATTGTTAATATTTTTATTATTTGTATCGTTATTGTCATTATTATGATCATTATCATCTCCAACATTATCATAAATTGTTTTTTTGTTCATTGTTCGGTTGTTTCATATCTAATTTCAGGTATCTTGCATCATGTGAATTAACCTACTTGCCACCAGGAGTATTCGACGGTTTATTTCGTCTATACATAATGTAGGTATACTTTTTTTTTGAGGGGGGGGGGGGTCTACATTTGAGTTAGATTCCTTTCCTTAGAATACATTCCTAAATTGCCTTTAAATAAGTTTTCAAAAGCAATTACAATCATGTTTGATGTGATTTCTTATCTGATTATCAGTGAACTTGAAAACAATCGTCTGACTGTTCTGGGGGAAGGATTGTTTCGAAATCTTTACTACTTGGGAGTGTTGTGAGTATTATAGCATTTTGTTGGTGTTGTTGTTGTTATCAATATTATTAAATTATAATCACTACTATCATTCTTCCTTTATTCTTCTTCTTCGTCTTCTTCTTCTAATTTTTCTTATCATCATCATTAGTATCATTTATCAGATTATTATTATAATTAATATCACTATTATTAGCATTAAAATATTATTATTAATGTTATCATCATTATCATCATCATTGTGGTTGTTGTTGTTGTTATTTCACCTAGTTAAATAGTCCCCCTCCCCCTCGCGTGCCTGCAAATCCTAGTCGCGCCAGTGATTATACACACTATTTAAACAATTATCTCCATTCAAATTTAATAGCTCTTGGTTACGGACTCTTGTTACTAGTCACAGGGGCATATAATGCGAAAAAACAAACATAATAATACTAATACTTATAAACAATGATAATAATAATAGTATAAATAATAATAATAATAATAAATAATAACAATATTAACAATTACACTATTATTAATAACAATAATAAAAACAAAAACAAATATACAGAAAACTTTCAATGGTTGGAATATTTATAACATTGAGTTACGCTTGTACCAACCTCAACATTTTTGTAGGCAAGCTTTCATCCATATATTCCTGTTGACTTTCTCGAGCTAAGTGATCAGTTTGCACAGTTTCTTGCTGTCTGCTGCCTTGAGATCACTGGATCTATGAATATAATTATGAAAGTGATTTTGTAAAGCTCCATGTATGTCAAGATTGACGCCCCTGGCTCAATGGCGAGAACAATGGTATAATTGGTGGCATATATGTATACAGCATATTTTCGGAGTATTTGTATTATATTTTAATTTGTTTAATGTTGTGATTTGTTTCAGAACTTTGACGTCCAACCATGTGACTCGATTCGAAGACGGGTGCTTTCAAGATTTACAAAATCTCTTTGCAATGTACGACGTATAGGACTCTCATTTTATGCTTCCTTGATATTGTAAAGAATACTAGTCTCTTTTTTTATTAATTCAGATCCATTCCATATAATGCATCATATAAAGAGACATTAGAGGAGATACTAGATTTACCAAAGGCCCTTTTCCTTTCATATTTGTTATTCTTTTCATCATGGTGTTGCTAGTATGTTGCACGCTCTAATTCCCCTATTCTCTTTTTTCCCATTCTCCATCACATATTATTGCAATGGGATTTTCCTTAAACATTCTCTTCCTAGCTCTTTCTTTAAATCACGTATCATGATTATTTCATCATTTTGTAGTCTCTCGGATTAAATGAAATCATAATTTTACTATTAACATTTGTCCATTTAACCCTGTTTAACGATAACAGTCCAGGATAATTTATATAGCTGACTCGAGTTCCAGTTTTAACTTAGCTTCCATTCTTTTCTACAGTAACCTGAAGAACAACTCGATTACGGATTTTCGCCCTGGGACATTTAAAGATATCGGAAATTCATTTACGAGATTGTAAGTAGACAAATTCTAACCCATTTATAACACCAAGAGAACTATAAAACACAGGGCTGCCCCCGTCATCTTGGATTCGATGACCCATATTTATAAGTTTTTAGATTCACTACGACAGGTACAATCCGCAAAATATCTGACTTACTCTGTATTTCTTGTTACCCTTTATGTTACTTTATGTTTTCTTTTTATATTTTAGGCTCAGAACGATTTTTCTATTTTAAGAACGCGACTGATTTACTACCTTCAATGTGATTATTTTATATTGAGAGTATATTACCCTGAGAGTTCATTAGACTCTTTCTTTCCTGTTACCTAAATCTTTACATTATTATTTTAAAGATGCACTATTTCCTGAAATGCTGTAAATCCTTAAAAGGTATTTTCCATAACTAGTGCAGTTGAGTACCATCTAACACGGGACGGCTAAATCTACTGAATGACTTTAGTGAGAAAAATTAATACATGTAATGCCATTTTTTGTCGTTTGTATTTTTTTTTTAAATATAACGAAACAAAGAAATTTGTTATTCATTAGCCAACACTTTAAAACAGTTTTGTAGACTTAAATGAAAATATGTGCTTTTTATGTATGCATTATTATAATGTTATATAATAATCATCACAACCGTCACGAACCACTTGTTATCGTTTTTAGAATCTTGAAGGGGAACCAATTAACATCAATAAACGCTTCTCTGTTCTACGGGATCGAACAAGAATTGCTACGGGCGTAAGTCCTTTTCATTGAAATGGTATAGCTTTGTCGCGCGCCTTTCTTTTTCTCCAATTATAATCAATTTTACACGATGAACTGACGCCTTAATGACTATAATGATTTTTGTTTTTATTATTGGTAAATGCATCCGTAATTCTCGGAGACTTTCTATATTTAACATTTAACACGATCGCAATTGTTTTCTTATAAATTCAACTGAGGGAAATTTAAATAACCCTGTACATCATCTTTTTAAATGTGCCAACAATACATTGACATCGTATCAGGACAATTACCCCCTGGACAATCACCCCCAGAGAATTAACCTCCGGAAAATCCCCCTCCCCCCCCCCCCCGAAAACACCCAACCCCAGGAAAATTACACCCGGAAAATAACCCCAGGAAAAATACCTCCACTCCTGAAAATAACACCCTAGGATAATTCCCCTGCAACAACCAAGGACAACCACCAACCACACTCGAAGACAGTAACCCCCTCCCTAAAATTACTCCCCTGTTCACTTAAGGGAAAAGTCCACCCGGATAATAAGTTGGTTTTGAGAGCAGATTTGTTGTCTTTCTCGGGGGATATTGTCGTCGGGAGGTAATTATCCAGGGGGTAAATGTCCTAGGGGTTAATTTTTCGGGGGGTGGGGTAATTCCCCTGCAACAACCAAGGACAACCACCAACCACCAGGGGGTAAATGTCCTAGGGTTTAATTTTTCGGGGGGTGGGGTAATTCCCCTGCAACAACCAAGGACAACCACCAACCACACCCGAAGACAGTAACCCCCTCCCTAAAATTACTCCCCTGTTCACTTAAGGGAAAAGTCCACCCGGATAATAAGTTGGTTTTGAGAGCAGATTTGTTGTCTTTCTCGGGGGATATTGTCATCGGGAGGTAATTATCCAGGGGGTAAATGTCCTAGGGGTTAATTTTTCGGGGGGGTGGGGTAATTATCCGTGGGGTAATTGTCCTGTTAGGGGGGGGGTAATCGTCCGGCTGGTAATTAGCCGGGGTGATTGCACAGGGGGTAATTGTCCTAGAAGCCATATATACACCTGTATTACGTAGGATGTACGGGGTATACAAATGGTATTTCTTTTACGAAAGTAGTTGGTAACGTGTTATTAAAATCGTCAAAAAACAGAAAATAAGTTGTAGTCACTGTAAAGAACGAACATTTCTTCTGTGCGCGTTTTCAAGAAAACACGACTGCAACTATTTTCGAAAAATCAACTAAAGAGCAATTTCATTACCCTATTGTACATCCCATAGAAATCATGTTCAGATTACGTAATACGTACGTCATGGTCATGACCGCAGATTTCAATTGGTGACGCATCAAGCTATTGAAATTGCCTTAGGTTGAATTTTAGAAAGTCCATGTAACCGATTTATTTTATTGAAAACTAGATATATTTTGTTCCCCTTTTATCATCAGGAATCTTGGCGAGAGTCTGATAGAATACATTGCACCGGGAACTTTTAAAAATCTCTCCAAAGTAACAGGCTTGTAAGTATTTAAAATTATAGCTTGAGTTTTGACTTCTCTTTTGTGAACCATGGAACAATAACTGTAAACAAATGTTTGTAAGAAATTGCAGTAAGTCACATTTCAACCATCATGAAATTATATGATAGAAATTTGGTTAAAATTAAGAATTTACCTGTAAATCTTACTCTCAAGGGGGCCGTAACGTGTCTGTCCTGTCCTGTAATGAGTTAATCGTGGATAATTTTGGTTGTGAAAGTCAATAAACTCATGCTAGTACTCATGGGAGAATACCTTTGGGTGGTGAAGGATGTGTGGATAAAATATAAGAGGAATCCTATGTCCACGCGTCCTTGATAGCTAATTATTATTTTGTCAAGACTCGCATTGATGTGGCAATTAATTTACCCTTCCCCATTGGGCGTATATATGGTGTGATAATTAGTATAAAAGGTTAATGGCTGATTTCAGCAGATTAGGGTAAGGTAGAAACAAAAAAATATAACTAACTAATATAGTCAGAAGGGCGTTAACTTTGTGAAAAATTGTATGAGTTAATACCTTTCTGGCGGTAAACAGACAATAAAACATGTGCTGTAACGGTTTTTGCCTCAAGTCATATTTTGAGATTTTTTTCTTTTTACTTATCGTTTAATAACACAGAGTCATTACATCCTTGAGCCCCAAACCTATTCCACTTTATCCTGAGATCTTTGAAGGCCTGGACAGTTTATCTGCTGTGTAAGTCAACATTTTGTTTTGTCTTCTTCATTCGGGTCATATTTCTCTCTCCCTCTCTCTCTCTCTCGCTCTCTATCTAATAAGGGGTTTGCATTTGGATCGACTTTTGACAAGAAAATGAAATTCCGTCGTGCACATTTATTTCTACGGATCTTTTATGATTAAATTTAAATGAATTGAAATGGTATTGATTGCACTAAAACTTTACATTAGCAGCATATGAAGGCTAAATTATACTGTAGAATTTATGAAATGAAAATACATGTTAAAACAAAAACTTATTTTGATTCGTAAAATTCCTATTTTGTGAACGTACATATAGTTTCTTTTCGTAAGATAACATTTTCAAGGGCTTCAATATGTCAAAATTACCCGATAAAAAAAGAAAATACGTACCGCGTGAGTCATAAAGGAGGGCAACCAACATTTACTCTAAACATATAACAGACGGAGAAAATCATTTAGATAGTATACAATTTTATCATAGGCACTTTACCCGATTTCAAGTACCTGAACATCGTTATTTCACGCTTGTCCAAAATATAGGTTAAAAAAATATCATATTAATGGGTCAGGTTCATTTTGTTACTGGGTTTCGGTTCTCCTTTTGTTTCATGCCTCTAGACTCGTCATGGCGCCACATACAAATTAGTTTTTATCCTGAAGATATCTCTCATTTTTCATCCACATTTTAAAATCCCATGTTCAATATTTCCACCAGGTATGTCTACGATTCACGTTTCTGCTGTCTGGCGCCGGCCAGTGTAAACTGTGTTAATGAGCGCCCTACTCATCCTCTCTTCACCTGCCGCAAGACCTTCCTCCAGAACTTTACCATCAAGGTCTTCATGTGGATCCTAGGGATAAGTGCCTTACTTGGGAACACCTTCGTCTTGGTCTTCAGGTTGAGGAGTACACCTACGACCAGGGTAGCCAAGATTCAGGCCATGATCATCACCAACCTGGCCGTGTCTGATCTCTTGATGGGTATCTACATGGTGCTCCACGCCGTGATGGATATCTTAATTGGAGAGTCTTACTTCTGGGAGGGTCGTGCTGAGGAGTGGAGGGCCAGCACTACTTGTCAGATCGCAGGGTTCATCTCTGTTCTAAGCAGTGAGACGTTCGTGTTCTTGCTCGTCCTCCTCAGTCTTGACCGCTTCATTTGTGTCGTGTTCCCGTTCAGCAACTGGCGTTTGGGCGTTGTGTCTACCCGCGTTACAATCGGAGTTATATGGCTAGCATCTGTACTACTCAGCGTGGGAGGTGTATTGCTGAATAACCTCAATCCAGATGCCTATGGTCTCAGTGACGTATGCGTCGGACTCCCTTTCATTCGAAAGTCTACGGATATCCGCGAAGAGGACGACACCTGGACATCGAATCAGTATGGCATACCCTATTCCACCACGATCGCTGGCTCAACCGTATCAACATGGAAGTACTCCATTGTTCTTTTCCTTGGTATCAATCTATGTGGTTTCGTTGTCATTTTTCTCTCGTACATTGCCATTTTCATCAAGGCCCGTTTTGTCCGCGCTGAACTCGGTCAAACCAGCCAATCAGCCAAGGAGATCAAGATGGCGCTGAGGATGCTGCTGATCGTCGGCAGCTTTTCTGTTGGATGCCAATCATCATCCTTGGTATCCTAGTCCAGACCCTCGGGGTCAACGTAACACCGGACATCTACGCCTGGTTGGTGGTCTTCGTCATGCCTATTAATTCATCTCTCAATCCCTATCTCTACACCATCATAAATATGGTTTCCAAATGACTCTTATATATGTGCTATGTGATGACATCATTATGTTCTGAAACATTGTTCGGTATTTTCAAATTGATGTCATTCTATCTAGACAGGGGAAGAATATTATGTATCTGCACATGGTATGTAAAATATATAATTGAATGTGTTAGATTCAAAACTTTCCCTATTCATTTAAAATCAATGAAAATCAATTAATTATTTGAGAGTACTATCTATTTGTTTAGTTTATCCAAATTTCCCAGGGATTAAGGGATTAAGTTATCAACACTAACAAATCAGCAGTTCGATCGTTAAAGTGTATTATAACTAAATTTGAACGAAAAGTCACAAATGTGGAGAAGCGATAGAAATAAGGAAGGCGTTCTCCCACCCCGTAAATTGATCCTTTTTTTTCCTTCAAACTTGATATCAAGATTCTGTCACAACTTTTCTTTAGCAACTTTATACGACCAGCGAAAAAGTACCATTCAAAGCATAACAATTTAATTCAGTTACATAATTAGAAGCGGGCAAGCCGGGGAGAGACTTTCAAAACCAAATAAAATGTATTAGTGTCATATACACAGCTAGGGTACAGAGTGCTATATATAGACAGTCAGTGGCGGCGATTTTTTTTTTCTCACGACGCGGGGGGGGGGGGGGGAGAAATGCGATATCTACTTGTACATTTTGAAGGATATTGTGCGAGGGAGCGTAGCGACCGAGTGAAAAGATTTGTGTATTTTGTTAGTCTAATAGCTGCAGTCTTGGGCCCTCCAAAGCCTTAAAGTGTGGTGCAGTCTTTAGTCAGTATTTGCTATACATTTTGGGGGCACTTTTTCAATTTTTCCGGGGGACGATCGCCGCTCCTGTAGACAGTACTTTCGGTGTCATCCCCAGTCGTAAAAAAATAGGAAAAAAATAGGAGAAAAATAAGGAAAAAATAGTCCCGAAAATATATTTTTTTTCTATTTTTTCCCTATTTTTTTTAAAGGAAAAAATAGGGAAAAAATAGTTTTGGAAATAGGAAAAAAAATAGGTTTGAAACAATTTTTTCTATTTTTTTCCTATTTTTTTCCTATTTTTCAGACCTAAAAATAGGAAAAAAATAGGGAAAAAATAGTGTAGAAAATGGTGAAGAAAATAGTAAAAAAATAGTGATAACTAGGTGCTAGTGGACAGTGAAAAATAGTGAGGAAATAGGAAAAAAAATAGTGAGGAAATAGGAAAAAAATAGTAAGAAAATAGGGAAAAAATAGTAAGAAAATAGGGGAAAATAGTAAGGAAATAGGAAAAAAATAGTAAGAAAATAGGAAAAAAATAGTAAGAAAATAGGAAAAAAAATAGTAAGAAAATAGGGGAAATAGTAAGAAAATAGGAAAAAAATAGTAAGGAAATAGGAAAAAAATAGTAAGAAAATAGGAAAAAAATAGTAAGAAAATAGGGGAAAATAGTAAGAAAATAGGAAAAAAATAGTAAGGAAATAGGAAAAAAATAGACAATAAGTGAGGAAATCAGAAAAAAATAGTCAGGAAATAGGGGGGGGGGGGGGTCACTCATCCTTTACTTTCATGGATTTCTCAAGCACTACCATCTCACACATCCAGTCAACGACTCTGTACATTCAATTAAATCATACAGTGCAAACTTGATATAAAGAGATCAGTTATACCTGAAATGACAAGGTAATTTAACAGCTTTTGGGGGTTAAGATTTCTTGGTTGCACATGACCTCATTGTCAAAAGTTTCCACTGTAGAATAGTCACCCTACTCCTACAGCTCTTTTCTCTGCATCGATGCACCTACTCAGTTTGCCAAATTCACTTCATCCTTTCAGTCCAATCCATTCAGTAGAACATTTAAAATAGTCAATGGGTATATGGAAAATGTTATACAGTCCACTCCTATTATAACGAACATGGATACACCAAGATTTTATTATCAGGCAATTCTCATCAGTCCCAATTTTAAACAAACCAATGTGTTCAGTAACTTGAGTATAACATGATTTCATTTTAACAAGGAAATTGGCTTGGTCCCGAGCACCTCGTTATAATGGCAGTGGACTGTAACAAACAAAAAGAATAAAAGGGAACGTGTCAAATAAAATACATGTACTTTATTTTCGAGAGGTAAACACAATGACATGAGTTTAGTATAGTATGTGTGTTCATGTAAGCAAATAAATAAAAGAACTTAACTGATATTTACCATCCTAGGTTAAGTACTGTAGTGTACATGTTGTAGTAATAGAGTTGTTCATGGTTTGCTATGATTATACTCTAAAAAAAAACAACAAGACAAATGCGACTGCGTCTCCTATATGCCTCCGCCTTAAAAAAATATCATCCACCTAGAATGTAGCTTTCTATTTTTGTTCAAATAAAGTATTCAGGTGAGTTTCAGGACTATTACTGAGCCGATGTGGATATGCCAGGCGATCACAAGCTCTCTCCCTCACTACCAAATAAAGCAGTATTCTTGACATGACAGTGTTGTTTTCTGTCTCTTTTATTACAATTTAATTGCAAAGTGCTCTTAATAATGTAATAACATTTTCAAACCTCAAGAAAATCATGACAAGTAAAAAAAAAATTCTCGTTACTTACAAAGATAACAAAATAAAATAAATCATAAAACAGATTTTTCAACAATGCATGCATGCTCTATTGTACAGTTGACATGTTACATAATTTTCTCAATCTCAATTGAACTGTCAAAATCTTAATACAATCATCATAATCTAGAAACACTTACTACAAAATCAATGACATGTCATGTCATTGAGATATATATAAACAAGAAAATGACAGACTTACATGCTACTATTTTCAAATAGTTTTACAAAGTATACCATCATTACCATGTATCATAAGTAATGGTCTTATGGTCCTTTATCTTCACAATATGCAGGCACTCATTGTGTACACATACATGTTGTACTTGCCTATGAATCTCAATGATTAGACATAAGAATTACATAATAAAATGGAAACAAATACTAATGTAAAGGATACAGATGTTGGTCATGCTGTTCACAGGCATCGAATGGTGATTGTACGTTACATGTACATTGTAGCTTGATTAGTTTCAATTGATCTGTAAAGATATAAATGAAATGTGAGTTAGGGGTTAGAATAATCATGCATTGGTACATTTATGAACATGCAATTAATACTTAGTACAAGTATTTATGTATTTCATAATGAAAAATTCAAAGGCACAGAACATGTGTGTACAAAAGTATGATAGCAAAAAAGATGCCAGGCTGACGACGAACGGATGGTGAAACAACGGAGTCATCAAAGAGCTGTCAAGGTGCATGAAATGTAAACCACTCAGGTAGGCAATTAATTAGAGTTATTTTATTCTTAGATATATTGGGTGAACATACATAAAATAAAACATAAAACACAGAAAAGAAAATAGTAAAGGAACAATTTGTTGAAGAAAAAAATAAAAAGGAAAGAGAAAAATAATGTAGATCTAGGTAGAACTTGTGCCACCTGCAAATTATTGTTCTAGCATAATGATGAGGTAAACTACTCTAATATTTTGATGTCAGATCTTAACTAACAAACATGAAATAAATAAACCCAAAAAAATTATCAACAATAGATTTAGATTTCTACTTAGTAAGGACATACCTCGCAGACACACTCTCGGACTTGGAAGACTTGCTCTTCTTCTTGCGTGGTGCTTTAGCAGGTTGTGTTTTCTGATTCCTAGAAAAATAATTTGAGATACAATTTAGCCTAAAACCACATCAAAACATTATATCATGCAAGGCAAAATAATTGACAGACGTAGTAATGGTACAAAATCTGAAATTTTTTACGTGGATTTATTGTAATCACGTTTGTTTACATTCACTCATTCACTAACAGACACTACACTGCACTTGGAGATTCACTACACTTCACTAAGAAGTTGTGTAGTCTACAACCTCAACACTAGGGTCTAGTACATGGGAATATTGATACGTAAAATAACATTCTAGATCTATAGGCCTATTATGTCTATGAAGTAGCATTATATTCAACAACAGACACAATAAAAATATATATATCATAATATAATTAAGTTTCAGAAATAAACGTACCTTTTCAGCTGTTTTCTGGGGCCAGTTCCGATCGTCGATGGTCCGTAATTCGACAACAAACTCGTTTCTCTACGAGTGGGACTAGTAATATTTTGAACATTTGTCGGGCTCATTTTCTTGGGAAGAATCACTAAAATGGGATAAGGAGGCATCGGAGTATGCGGAGTCACTATCTCTTGATGAAATTTCATCGCTAGAATAATTGCTGGAAGACATTTTGGTGTGATTTGGAGACGTTTGATGAACGAAAATCAGCAAAAGTCCGATGCGCACAGCAGTGCCAGTGGGGAAAAAAAATAACGGGTAATTTTCAAATTACGTACTTGCGTACTGTCCTCTACGTTGAAACTTTGCGCACACATAGAACGGGAATATCTCGATCGAATGTTTTTTTTTCTATTAATAAAGGAGATTTTTTTTTGGGTTGAAATTTCTATGTGTACATTTTCTTTTTACACATGGTTTATGTATGGTTATCTTTGAGTGCACTAGTCACTACTATAGTTTGTAAATAAAATCAAGAATATTAATAAAGGAACAAAATTGAAATTTCGTACATTTTCTTTTTACACATTGTTTATTTATGGTCATCTTTGAGCTCACTATTCAATATGTGACCCCACAGCTAAAAACAACCAATAAGTCGCAAAATGAACAACAGAGATAATGGCAGGAGAAGCGGGCTTTTTGAATAGGATGCCAGTCATAAACAATGAAAATATGCAAGTTTAGAAAATAGACAAAAAATAGTTTACAAATTTGTATCATGTCATAAAAAATTTAAGTGCAAAAAATAGGAAGAAAATAGTACTCGCAAATAGGTGAAAAGAAGTCTGAAAAAGATAAAGGTGAAAAAATAGGGAAAAAATAGTCTGAAAAAGATGAAGGTGAAAAAATAGGGAAAAAATAGTTTGGTACTCGAGAATAGGAAAAAATAGAACTATTTTTTTTCTATTTTCTTTTAAAAAAATAGGAATAAAATAGTCCACAAAAGTTGAAGGTAAAAAAAATGGGGGAAAAATAGTTTGTGCTTGAAAATAGGAAAAAAATAGGACTATTTTTTTCCTGTTTTCTTATAGGAAATAGGAAAAAAATAGTCTGAAAAAAAATATAGGTGAAAAAAATAGGGAAAAAATAGTTTGTACTTGAAAATAGGAAAAAAATAGGACTATTTTTTTTCCTGTTTTTTTATAGGAAATAGGAAAAAAATAGTCTGAAAAAAAATATAGGTGAAAAAAATAGCGAAAAAATAGTTTGTGCTTGAAAATAGGAAAAAAATAGCCCTATTTTTTTCCTATTTTCTTGAAGGAAATAGGGAAAAAATAGTCTGCATTTCCAGAAAATAGGGAAAAAATAGGAAAAAAATAGGGAAAAAATATATTTTCGCAACACACAAAACTACTAGGGATGCCACAACTCTTTAAACCCACGTTAGGCTCACTATGCACAAGTAGAAAATGACATCGGTGATTTTAAATGACAATCCTTGTAATAGGCTTGTACTCTTTAAGGACTTCTCTTTTAGGCATGAGTCTATCCTTCAGCTCGATGGTCCTTTAAGAGCTTTTTTGTTGTCATGCACTTACTACACGTATTTCTTTATTCAAACATATATATGTGGACTAATAGGCACTGTTAATTAATTGATTGAATTTACTACATTTCATGTCGATGATGGTATGTTGCACATGACCACACTTCACCAAGAAGAGCTTGAACACCAATAATGAATTGCAAATTTCTTAATAAATTTAGCTCCTACATCTCAATCAAATAGTACTCTGAATATGATTTGTTGTCTTGCATTTCTGAATCCACCTGGACGTACCTAACGACTACACCCAGTATCATGATCCACCCCTTGGATTGTATTCTTCAATACTGACTGCATTAGACCAGCCTTGAAGAGTCAGGTGAATAATGGAATGCATCGTGTCAATTCAATGTAATTAATACACACAATGAATCAGTGGCGGATCCAGGGGTGGGGGGGGGGGGGGGACCAAAAAAAGAATATGCTCGCTACCCCCCCCCCCCCCCTCCCACTGAGCGACTTTTCGACCGGGGCGATTTTCAAATTTTCGGGAGCAAAAAATAAAAAAAGTTGGGCCCCCTCCCCCAAGAAATCCTGGATCCGCGCCTGCAATGAAGAAACCACGACCAAAAACTTATTCTAGCATGAAATTAATACAATTTATAAGTCAAATATTTTATGAGATGATCATTGTTTGATTACAGATTGACACATGATTCTGAGCTTTACATAAATCAAGGGACTAACTGAACCCTTTTAGAATGTTTATCAGGGTATTCAACCTAGAATATAATTAGTCCGCTCACAAGAACACTTGACTTGAACACATTTTACAATAGAGCAGCATTGGGATTTGAACCCATGCTATTGAAATAACTTTAGCAGAACGTGGCCGAAATGGAAGACTGCAAATATGTCCAATGAGGTCCAACAGTGGAGTAACTCAACCTACATTGTGGTGGATTAAACCTAGCCTGCAGTTAATCTCCTTTCAATAATATCTGCCAATATCTTTTAAATGGTGGCAGCGGTGGGATTTGAACCTACTCCTTGTGAATGGAATGAGGCCTGTGTCTCATATTATGGATCTAATAATGGACTAACTCATGAAACTTAGCATGGGTTCAAATCTGGCCTGAAGTTAGTGCAGTACATTTGAAATTATGAGAGCAATGGATCAAATTGAAGAAACCATGTTTTTTAAACTAGAGTCTTACAGCAGAAGAACTTAAACTGCAGTATCTGGCCGGCATAAAACCTGGCATAAAATTGTGTGTACTTCCAGTTATAGGCCAGAATGCTAGCCACACAACTTCATTGACTTCTCCATTCTTCAGTTCTAGAAATCACTCATTTTGCTGGTCCACAAGAGGTTGTCCCTTTCTTTAAAAATGTACATTGTTGTTTAATGTATATCCAAATTCAGTTTAGTCTGCATGACTCGACTTTTTTATAAGTGATTAGTGACTTAGTCAAATTTTTCCTCAGTGAAATAATTAGTTTGGATCAAATTATTCCAAACTTTGTATCATTTACACTTCTTAAGTCAAATTTTGCATGAGTCAAGATGTGTTTTTGTGAAGGTTCAAACAGATTTGACTTATGCAGAGTTAACTGTATTTAAAAGCTAGGACACTTCTGTGTAGATCGGCCCTGTTGGCTCTCTATTCAATCTTTACAACAGTGATAAACCTACTCTTCATAATTCGTGGCAGTTTTATGAACCAACGAATCTGTCATACACATTAATGTACAGATTTGGCGTTTCACAATAATGATAACAAATTTACCAAATGTAATATGTAGATGCAATCTTTATTTACATCACAACAATGTTGTCAATTCCAACATACTAAGATAAAGTTTAAAAAACTGTGAAAAGGTAAATTACCTCCTGTACATGCAGGTGTGGTTAAGAAACACCAAGAATAGGAACTGCAATCTTTTGCTTTGATTTTCAGCAAAAATGTATTTAGCAGATACGGTATAGGAGCACATAAAAAGATTTAAACATATTTCAGAATAAATTCAAAGCAATTTAAGAAATAATGCAAAGCAAAAAAAACATTCATACTTTCTTGTCCTCACTCACTCATTTTTTTCATAGCAGGCTCCTTCGTGCTGCCATATATATATCTTGGTATCACTGCCATACATAATTCTGTACATAATCAGATGAATCCTCCTAGGGATGTTGTTATGCAACACTAAAAGAAGGAGAAAAGAGAGAGAAAGAGAGAGAGAGGAATAGAGGTAGAGAGAAAGAGAGAGAACGATGAGCTCATGAGAGAAAGAGGAAAAGAGAGAGAGAGAAAAATAAGAGGGCAATGGAAGGGTGAGAGAGAGAAAGTGCGATGACAAAATGAGAGAGAAAAAGAAAGTTTCAACGAGATCTACATTCAATACATTATAACAACAGAAAGTAACTTTCATGTAGACATAGGTTGAAGGGCATATTTAAACTACAGTGGAAACTTGTTATAACGAGGTCCTTGGGACCAAGGAAATTACCTTGTTATATCAGGGTAAAAAGCAAAAGAATATAAAGTGCTGGGACCAGCAAAATCACCTTGTTAGAACAGATACCTCGTTATATCGGAGCTGTTTATAATGAGGTTCCACCGTATCAATCCAAATTGAAAGGACACACATATTCAACCCTTAAAAATGAACAGAAGGCAAACAGTGGAGAATAACATAACAGTTTACAAAATATTACATTCGATAAGAGCGCGTAAATACCTCTACTACCTTTCATTAGGCTAAATATACCTCAAAATGTCAATCAGATTACATGAATGTCTATCATCAACAATCATACCTTCTGCTCTCTGGGTGCATCTCCGTGTGCCCCTAACATTCGCTAAGCTTCATTATTTCAAACACGCTTATGGTTTAAAGGTAAACAAAAGTACAGTTACTTTGTGAAGTTGAAACTTATATATATATATATATATATTATTGCCATATGTTCAAGTTTTTCTACATTGTGCAACAGAATGGAATGTTATACAAGTGTTGATACCAGTTAGAGAAGGATGAATACTACAAACAGACGATTCCACATTTTGATATTTTCTCTCAAGTACTTTACATGGAAGACACAAATTAATGAGTTATCCTTATGTACTTCTACCAATAAATAACCAGTCAGTACTGGCAAAAGGTCAATATGCTTATATAAGTATGACTCTTTGTTTCATACACACAGACTTTGAATTTTCCTCTATATAAAAGAAGAATATGATTTTCATGTACATGACATTTTCTTTGTCACAAACAAAAATAAATATACATAGTTCTGGATCAAATTTGTTCTTTCAATATAAAAATTATCCTAACACACAATCCAAAAGTCTAAGGGAAGCACTGAAGATTATTTGGAGTCAATGTCACAGTAGGAATTTCATTATATTTCTCTTAAATGATATCAACATGTATTTAGTGTGAATAGAATTTGTATTATTAATGAAAATTGAACAGCCTAACATGGCAAGATACATATGAAACTTGTCTAAAACCCTGTGGTGCCTACAGCATTGTGCATATCTAAAATGGTAATCTGCCTCACAAAACGGCCATGTCCACATAAAATGGCTCCAGTATAGTGTGTGTCTTATATTTCTGCATCATTTATAAATATTCTGATCAGTGACTACCCTTTGGTCCTTTACTCATTGCGTGCATACTGTCTGCCCCCCCCCCCCCCACCTAAAATTTATCCTACATTTTGCCTCAACGTTTTTTTCTTCTTGTGTACTGCATCACGTGTGAACAAAAGTCTCCAGATTTCTATGGTAAGATCGAATTTCCAACTTCAAAATGGAATACATCCAATCTCACTTGCATCACCAGAACATTTTTTGGCTGCAGAATGTAACACACAAGACACACTTTTTATACATCAAATGGGTAATTATGTGAAATATTTCCCATAGGACATAGGTAAGTCGTTTTCCTCCTCATATATCATCCGGAAGGAAAAATATCTTGACATAACCATTGAATTATGATGCTTTCTCAGATCACTACCATTAGTCATAGTCAATCAAGAGATTTTGTGATTCATGGATGAAGATATATGAATATATGTCATATGTTGTATGGAATACGTTGCAAGGAATTGCCCCAAATAAATATTTACACTTCAAAGTGTACACACCAGAGATGCCAACCTTCTTCGACAAAAAAATTATTCTTAAGAGCAAAAAACAGTATTTTGGGACAAAAAACAGTATTTTTGAAAAAATCTCTCACCTTAACATATCGCCCAATCGAGCAGCTTAAAAAAAATGGCAGAACCATGTATACATACCCGGATCGGAGCGCGACGTGCATACATTACATGTGGTTGTTCGCAATGTGCGCGGTTTTGGGCCCGTATCACCATTCTGCGTGCATCGTTTGAAGACGTAGGTGCATGATACACTTACGACACAAGGCCCATGATCAGAAATTAAGAAAAACGTCACTAAAAAAAAAAAAAAAAAAAAAAAAAAAAAAAATTAAAAACGTAACAAAACATACAAAAAACGTACTGCCGTATTCATAGTGAGAAAACGGGACAATTACGGCAAAAACGGAACAGTTGGCATCTCTGACACACCATCACTTGATGATTAAAGCAAGAATATCAGCTCTTTTTGCACCATCTTAAATTTAATATTTAAACATAGCGTCACCCTGCGTCTTTCTCATAGATCTAAATCAATTTTCAGTAGTAAACACGATGAATGATCCTTTGACATTTAACATCTGGGCTCACAAACCCAAACTTGATATTTAATCTGTTCATGCTTGTACATACTTGAGTCGAGTTTGGTCAACATCGGTTCAATTTTAGATTTTTCAGATATACCAGCAAAAAGATATTTTCACAGAAACTTTACACTTTCATGACCCTGTGATCTTTCACCTTTGACCTCTTAAACCCAAAATCTAATTGGTTCATCCTTGCATACTCATACATACATGTATTTCAGCCAAGTTAATTTTGAATTGCTCTATATTGCTCAATGCAATTCAAGTTATTGATGTAAGAAAACATTGTCTAGTATTTTTAAACACTTAATTGACATGTTTATGACCATGTGACCTTTGACCTCTTACTCCCAAAATTTGATCAGTTCATCATTGCATGCTCATCCATTCTTTATTCAAGTTTGGTTTGAATTGTTTCAATTCTTTTCAAGTTATCACAGTAAAAAGGTATTTTGCGGTTTCAGCTGAAAGTAACCTGTACTCCCAATGCATTATAGAAATGATTGCCTATTTGATGCAGTCTGTAATGTAGTGGCAATCCAGTGAGGCAAGGAACTCCTTATCCGTCTTCTTGTTGACAGTCCAAGGTATTACTGTGAGACCTCGCGCTGACCAGTACCGGATAACATTCCTGCATGGGCAGAGACAAAGAGAAAGAAAGAGAATGGGAAAACAGATAGAGATCGAGGGACAGTGCAGGTAAAATATGAGTTTGAATCTAATTTTCATAGAAGCAGACTAATAAAAGAAAATAATCTGTGAAAGTTTCAAGAACACCTATTGAAAAAACATGAAAGAAAATAGTGATTTTAAATATTTGTAAATGATCAAACAAAAAATTGACCACTTTGCTCTGACCTGGTAGAGTTTTCTCACTAAGTTAATGTCCTTGCCATTTGAAGTGCGTGCATTTCATCACGTCTCAAATTTCATCAATGCCAGATATATGCATAGGCGCATCTTAGCCCTGCATTAAGCCGTGGGTTATCACTTTTTGATGGGAACTGTTTTGCACAGTATAGGCATGTTAGGATAGAGTGATGCCCTGCCACATGTTGTAATTCAACCAATTAGATTGCCTAAATTCTAGAACCTGTTTTATAATAGCAGCATACATGCTACTTGAATATGGTCAAGCTGCTGTTGCTATAGTAACAGCCATGAAATGCACTTACTGTGAAATTGTGTCCTTCTGAAGCAGCATAGCAGAGTTTCCACACAGGATCCACAACCAGTTGTGCAAACTCCACTGCAAGATCTTGTCAATGATCGCAAAGGGCAGTAGTTTCCACCAAGTGGGTGGTCCGGTCCATCTCTTCATGACTTGGCCAGATATGAAATAGGGCTCAGTGGTCAGTGCGGTTAAAATCTCACTGTCCAGTTGTCTCACCTTCAAATGAAAGAAGAGATATGTCATAATTGAAAGTGGAATACAAGAGAGAGGAGGCAAATAAAGGAGGAAAATGAAGATAACAGATAGAGTACAAGACAGACCTTACAAATGAGAGGTAAATATGGCTCCCACCAAATGAGTGAACCAATCCATCTCTTCATAACTTGACTAGAGACAAAGGCATGCTGGTCAGTGATGCCAGAATCCCTTTGTCAAGTGTTGTTCACCTTCAAAAGGAAGAGTTTCAATTAAATTCACTTAAAATACATGTATTTTAATAGTATTCATGCAAATAGACGGGGAAAATGTTGACAGTACCTTGTTATTTCATGATATATTGAAACTGGCACAAAGTGTTATTGAAAGAAAGAGGCAAAGGATATCACATTATAACAAGATGAATGCAACTGTATATCTACTTTTCCCCCATCGGTATGTAACTTCACTATTCTTCACTGATAAATGATCCTGTGACGTTTAACATCTGGCCTTACAAACAATAAATTTTCATTTAATCTGTTAATGCTCATAGATACTTCAGCCAAGCTTGGTCTACATTGTGTAAATTGTTAGTAAGTTATCACAGTAATTTAATATTTTCTAGGATTTTTAACACTTTCCAGTAACGTGATACTTTAATGGCATTTTCCAACACTTTTATGACCATTTAACCTTTGACCTTTTACGACCAAAGACTAATCAGTACATCCTTGTATGCTCATTCATACTCCATCCAAGTTTGTTTTTTATTACTTTAACGCTTTTCAAATTATTGCGTTAACAAGATATTTTCTGGCATTTTTCAACACCAAATGACCCTGTTAACTTTGACCTTTTCCAACCAAAATCTTATCAGTTCATCCAAATACGCTCATATAAACTTGATTCACATTTATATGTTAGCCTTAATCTGCTCAATGATTCTTGCGTTTTTGCGGTTAAAAAAAAAGCAGGACGGATGGACAACCCATGAACATATTTTTGGTGGCGGCGACATGAAAAAAAAAGATAATGGAGATAAGAGTGGGTGATGGACGTTAAAATAACTTAAATAAGAACATGAGAAGTAAAAATTTTACCCTATATATTGTAGTTGGGAAGAAGGAGCAGATCATGCCGTTATCATACAGGCCAGGGTACTTCTGATAAAGCTTGATCAGCTCGTCCACCATCTGGGAAAAAATGAAGAAGATAATTAGTTTAATCATTGTAAAGATTTGTTTGGCTTGTACCCAGTAAAGATCATGTGGTTGGTCTTGTAATCGAAACAAGTGAAAACAAATCTTGAAACCCGCAGGATTTGAACCTGCCATCTACCGGTACTCCTTGCTGGGTAGCAACTCTACCACCAGGCCATCACTGGTTGACAGCACATGCATTCACAATGAACTTGAAACAAATACCTCAGCTCTCCTGACTTTTTTCTGACGTGTTTTTAATTACAAGATCGAGAATGCGATCTTTATCTATTAAATGGGTGCAAGCTAAAAATTTCTTTACAACATTTGAAACTTCTCCCAAGAAGCCTAACATTCAAAGATCAGCTTTGTTTATACATGTACATGCAGTATCATTTTGAGTGCATTATTTTGAAAGACACTAAATTTGCTGATGTAAACTGGTTATTGTGCTACACTACCGGTAGTCTATTAAACAAATACATTGTGCATGTCATACTTATAAATGTATCGCAATAACAGAATGCCAACCCTTTAAGGCTTGTGTTTTTAAGACAACTTTGTACAAAATTTACATTAAAATATTCACCTTTTTATTATCAAAGGGTGTACTCACTTTCTTTGGATACTGTATTTCATTAGTTGGCATAAAAGTTGCAAAAAAAAAAAGAGTCGCTGCCCGGCAAGCAGTAGATGCAGGTTCAAGTCCCGCTGGTTCCAAGATTTTTTCTGACTTGTTTTCAATACAGATCGATCAATGGATCTTATTTACTGGGTGTAAGCCACAAATATGTTTAAATAATTGAAATTTCTCCCAGGAAGCATTACATTTATAAAAGAAAAAAGATTGTGGCCGTGTTCTACTATAACATTTCTAATAGTCTTTTAAGTTTTAAACCAATTTTCCGGACGGAAAGCAGTTTAAATATAAAACAAATTTTTAAATGCGAATAATTCGAAAAGTAGTTTTTGAGTCGCTTGAGCACTAACACCCTTCTGCCAGCAGGCCGATGATATACTTACTTGTTTGGAATATGCCTTGACATCAAAGAAGATCCTGAGTTTGAGATTCAAGCATTCCTGGACCACTTCATCCAGAGTAGGGACGGCTTCATAAGATATCTTGGATCGAGAACTGGGAAGAGCAATGAGAAAAGGGATAAAGCGACAGTAGTGTGTATTTAAATTTTGAAGAAATTTTGCAATGGAACAAATGAAGATACAGACTATTAGTAGATGGCAATGGGCAAGATAATGTTAAGAAAAAGTACTTGAACAGCATAATCCAATTCACAACCTGACATGTTTAAATATATGCTTTTTGCATAATATGACCATTTTCTTCCACTCAAAAAAGTAACCAGTAAATAATTACATTTACATTTAAATTGCTTAGAAAATTGCTGGTAGACCATTACTACACAAACATGTACCTAGGAATAACAGCATGGCTGTATTATGATACTACACCATAAGGTAATAGTCAACACATGTACATGTACATGTACATGTTTTCCTGTCCATATGTTTCAATCAATTGCTTCTTTAACAATATTTCTGTTCTTTTCCTTTCATGAACAGTTGAGAATTGGCAAATTAGGTATACAAACAATGTAGTACTCTTCTCATTTTTAATAATTTTCTCACTTTTACAGAGGAGCAACAGATGGTAAAAGCCAAAAGCTTCCTGACAGGGTTTTATTCCAAACAAACAAACATAACCAAATGAAAACAAAGAAATGACCTCATGAGATAAAATATCCCCCCCCCCTCAAAAAGGGGGGGGGGGTGGAAGAAGAGTACTCCCACCTGGAGCCTCAACGTGTAAGTATTGAATTTAATTTAATTTAATTTATTCACCACTTTTATAAAAACATCCACAGGCAAAGAGTTAAATTAAATATTTCTTGCAAACATAAATAAACCTATAAAATGAAAAATACACTAAAGGAAATAACGAATTGGTTTGATCATCAAAAAGTTACAGAAACTTATACTGTAGGTAGATGATCCTAAAAATGTTCATGTATGCAAAAAGCAATTTTCATTTTCTTTCTATTTTAATAGTTGGTATTTACATTTAAGTCTATCAAAACTACCTTTAAAAAATTCAAAAAAATGAAATGAAATTAAGATGAATGGCTTAAATGTACCTGGAGGAGAATTTCGCTGCTGCATTGAGCTGACTGACTTCATCCCACATCATCTGACTGATGAAACCAGTCCCATCGGTCGTTCTATCAATGGTAGCATCGTGCATCAAGATGGCTACTCCGTCTTTGGTGATCTCAACATCAACTTCAACTCCATCAGCACCATTCTTCTTTGCCTGAAATAACAAAGTGAAAAAGGTTTTGTGTTAAACTCACTGAATGACCAATTTTTGCGGATGTACATATAGCCTAACATGTACATGTATGAATGGCAGACAGCTAATAGCCGACAAAAGCAAAATATAATAAAGAATAAGTAAATAATAATAAACAAATAAGATCCCACAATCTGACATAATGATCATGATCATCAATCATAAAACAAACCTGCAAATATTTGGTGGTGGACCGTGGAAGAGTAGGTCTATCATTGGAATACTTTGACAGATTTTTTTTTTTAGAATAGATGTTTTCATCTTTCTTTAAAAGTTGACTTAATTAAATTAGTTTGAGATGCAACATTTCTGAGATTCTCCATCTACATGATCTAGCTACATCTAGTTCCCCCGTATGTGGTGTTACTTTAATGGTATTCATCTTATAGTGAATTGATTCTTAGAATATCTCTTGAAACTTTATGCTGTTTAAGGCAATTTAGGCGGTCCCCAAAACTTTGTAAATTACAATTTCGTTCGATTGAATAATTAAATTTTGATAGAGCTTTTTTTTTTTAATGCTATGATTCCAGCAACAAAAACACACAAAATTAAAAACAATGATTTGAAGACTTCAAGAATGAATCAGAAGATAACTGATCTTGATTATAAATGAAAATACAGTGAAATTAGTGAATCACCTCTTGAATAGCAAGGAGAGTATTTTCTGGTGCATCAGCCGCTCCTCCTCGGTGAGCTATCACACCATTGCTGGATGCAGACGGCTGCATAAACCGTTCCAGATGCGAATCAGCCGGTCGCCTTTTCCTGAAATACAGCAGACATGCCACTCCACTTATCACAGATAAGACTGAGAGTACCACGATGACATGTGATGGTAGAAACCACCAAAATGTGCAGTATAATATGACGAAGATGAATCCTGTGAAACAAATGCTCTGGCAGAAGAAGTCCAGCACAACTTCAGCACCTGCGAGCCCCAAACTTTCGGGGACCATGGTGATTACCGCACCGATGAATGGCGATGCCTTTCTTACGCCTTTGTTGCGGCAAGAATAGATGTAGCAGTTCACACGCAGTCCACCGAGTTCAGTTTGTAATTTACCAGCCTTTGTACATATAGACTACACACTTTTTCGTTTATATATATTTAATCGTAAAATTGGCAGGAAAATATGAGTGTTGAGAATGAACTAACAATATAAACAGCGACAACAATCGAAGAACAAACTGATCGGCTGAGCTCGACTGCTAAATTCGATCCGTAAAGTATGCATTGCGCATGCGCCAAGAAGCTAATAAGAAACTAGAAATTTAATTCGTCATGGGGACGAATTAGGTGGTCTGTCTTCAAGTCTTATGATGTATTATAATATTTACTATATTGAGAAAGGGAGAAGTTATATAGACATGTAAACAATGATGATTATGATGATGATGATGATCCTGATAGTAATGGGGATGACGATGATGATGATGATGATCATGATGATGTTGATGATTATCATTAACCCGTTCAACTCGGGAACCGAGATTTCTCGGGTCCCGAGGTACGTACTCACAAACGGGAACCGAGATTTCTCGGGTCCGAGCAAGGGCTTCTTTTATTGCAGAAAAGTACATCTATTCACCTTCTAAATACAATATAAACTACCTGTATACAAACTTTGAACCTTTGGCTACATGCATCTCATTTTTTACCGACTGTAGATGCGTAATTTTTATTTTATTACAAGTTTAGCATGAGAATGCACGAGTCCTCTTTCAGGATATTCGTATAGAACACATGCAAGTCAGTTTACGTTATTTTCATAGATTTTCGGATTCGCTGCTGCTAGCTAGCTGGGTCTACTATTCCTAGGACTGTGTAAGCCGGACATAATGATTTTGCAAGCAGCGAATTCCACACTCGCTCTGGATACCTTTGTACTCGGCACGCGCGGATACACCGTTCAATGCATGAGCCTTAGCCTCATATGGTCATTGACGCCTATTCATGGTAACGGGTCGATTATTGAAAAGCTTATAGTATATTACAGTCTCGTTCGACCTAGCGCTCTCAGTTCAGTTTACTCATGCGTACGTATACAGGGTACCGGGCCGACCTATTATTGGGGAGATTAGCTAGTCTCGATATGTCCATCCCATTGTTTCGATTCAAGGTTGTCGACTATTATTTACTTATCGTGCTATAAAGTGTCGGAGTTTTACTATTTAGTTCAGCTTTTTGATTTTCATGATAGTTGGTTGCACAAATTAGTTCTCAATTATTTGCTTATAACTGCTCTTTATCTATGTAAGATAGTTTCTCAAAATGTCTCGTCATCGGAGAAAGCCTATTTTTTAGCGTTGAAGATGCTCGAGAAGCGATCCTTGACTCGGACTCAGAAAATGAATATGATACAAATGGACTTATCAAGCGAAGAAGAGTATTCATCGGACGTAGAAAATGAAGAATATGAAACAACGACATTCGATGATATTTCCATAAGTTATCTATAAAGCCTGTCGTCTCAAAAGTTTTGACTCCACAGCTATCTTTTACGTCATTGTATTTACATGACAATACGCTTTTCATGTTATCAACTTGACCAATTTAGCGAATCATTCATGTATGGACCTCCTCTTTTATGAAAGGCTTATCCAGGCTCCCTCAGCTGCCCCACGCTAAGGGGGAACAAAAGAATGTAAAGAAGTAACTACTCTGGAAGATTGCCGTTTTGAAAGAAGAGGATGTAGGCGTAAATAGGTCAATTTACATTACAATACAAACAACCACTCTAACTTATACACCTTTACGAGGGCATGTAACAGTTTTAGAGCAGGTTGAAGTAAAATATCTTGATCAACCTAAAGCCGGTCTTGGTTTGAGCGGGCATATGAAATGTTCAAATGTTATGTTCTGAAAAACGACCCCTTACTCTTCCTCTCTCTCCCTACGGAATATTACTCTTGTCTTGAGCAACTCCGGCGGTATAAAGCCACGAATATGAGACTTTTCCCGGGCAAAGATGCTACCATTGTTGAAAAAAATGCAAGGCAACATAAAACAAGTTTTCTGGCAATGAAGAAAAGCGAGTGCAAGATGAAGAAAATAATTGTTATTATTATTATTACTATTTTATTACAATATTGTAAGCATCATCTTCATCATCATCATCATTATCATTATCATGTATGCATGTACATGCCATCTACAGAACTGATCATGAAACGAGGATTATCTAAGTTTTATTGACACGATAGGTTGAACAAGGATACAGATGGAGACGAAGACAAATAAAGTGAATTATCACGTTGTTTGCACTTCTTTCTTTATTGTTCCGTAATATAATGAATTACTATATTTTCAATATCATTTATTTTCGAATAAATAAAAGACTACCAATACTACTGCGATTAACTCCTTATTAGCCGCACCCTTTCAAAAAACAAACACAACAACGCGATACGGAAATAAAATACACTGAAGCACAATTCCAATTTCACGAAATTCCTGACGTATTTAGAGAGGGAAGGGGGAGGATACAGACAGACAGACAGAGACAGACAGAGAAAGATAGATAAATAGATAGAAAGAGAGAGAGAGAGAGAGAGAGATGATTGTGATGAATTATGATTTTGTTCTAATCTCTGTCATTTATTTATCTCTTTCCATTACATACAAAACAAATAAAATATGCGTACAATGATATTTAATGATATTTGTCTCTCCGGTCACCCCCCCCCCCCCACTCTGATTTTTTTTTCTCCTTTATTTTGTCTCCTTTTTGTTTGATTATATCTTTTTGCTAAAGTATAATGTCCGACGTATAACATCAAGGATATGTTATAATAATTAATCTCAAGGAAGGGATGATGTCGGCATACATGCAAATGGCGGAATAGACAACATTATGAAGATGAAGATGGAAAACGACATAGACAGAGAGAAAGACGGACAGGGAGAGAGAGAGAGAGGGGAGGGGGCGGGGGGAGATAGAAAGTTGGACGTAGTCTGTACTGTATTTATTACTATGATATTTTTCTCACCGACCCCCCCCCCCCCCCCTCAAGCTCACATTTTTTCTTTCCATTTTTTTGTTTTGTTTTGTTTATATCTTTGGGCTAAAGTATAATATCCGACGTATAATAGTACCGTCAATATAGCATAATAAACAATTTTTGTATCAATCAGTTTGATGCAACAGGGATTTACAATCAAAAGTTTTACTTGGTATAATTGTTGTTCGGTAATGTTCTTCTCATTTCGACATTATCAGCCGCTCGTTCTCTATTTCGTTTCCTATAATAAATATAAGATATAATGTGTACATCATCAGGGATAATTACGTTATAATAATTAATCTCAAGGAAGAGATGCTGCCGGCGTACAGGCAAATGGAGGAATAGAAAACATTATAAAAAAGATGAAGATGGAAAACGACATTGCCAGATAGACAGAAAGACAGAGAGAGAGAGAGAGAGAGAGGGGGAAAGAGAGAGAGAGAGAGAGAGAGAACGAGGGAGAGAGAGAGAGAGAGAAAGGGGAGGGGAAAGCTAGGGGGCGGGAGAGATAGAAAGTTGGACGTAGTCCGTACTGTATTTATTTATATGATATTTGTCTCTCCGATCATCCTCCCCCCCCCCCACCCCAGCTCCGATTTTTGTCGCCTTTAGTCTGTCCTTTTTGTTATCATATAGATATCTTTTCACTGAAGTATAATGTCCGACGTATAATAGTATAGTCAATATAGCATTTTAAACCTTTTTTTTATATCAATAAATTTGATGCAACAGAAATTTTCATTCAAAAGTTTTACTTTGGAAATATAATTATTGTTCAGTAATATTCTTCGCATTTCGACATTATCAGCCGCTCGTTCTCTATTTCGTTTCCTATAATAAATATAAGGTATAATTTGTACATCATCAGGGATAATTACGTTATAATAATTAATCTCAAGGAAGAATTGATGTCGGCATACAAGCAAACGGAGGAATAGAAAACATTTAATAAAAAAAGATGAAGATGGAAAACGACATTGCCAGATAAACAGAGAGACATATAGAGGGAGAGAGAGAGAGAGAGAGAGGGGGGGGGAAGAAAGAGAAAGAGAGAACGAGCGAGAGAGAGAGAGAGAGAGAGAGAAAGGGGAGGGGGAAGGGGGCGAGAGAGATAGAAAGTTGGACGTAGTCTGTATTGTATTTATTTATATGATATTTGTCTCTCCGATCATCCTCCCCCCCCCCCACCCCAGCTCCGATTTTTGTCGCCTTTAGTCTGTCCTTTTTGTTATCATATAGATATCTTTTCGCTGAAGTATAATGTCCGACGTATAATAGTATAGTCAATATAGCATAATAAACAGTGTTTATATCAATTTGTTGCAACAGAGATTTTCATTCAAAAGTTTTACTTTGGAAATATAATTATTCGCATTTAGACATTATCAGCCGCTCGTTTTTCACTTCGCTCGCTATAATAAATATAAGGTATAATAAAGTGTGTACATCATCATTATTTTATAATAATCTATCTCAAAAAAGGAATGTTGCCGGCATACAAGCAAACGGCGGAACAAAATTGGCAGATAGACAGAGAAAGCGACCGAGTGAGAGATAGAGGGAGAGAGAGACACACATAAGCAGAGAGAAAGAGAGAGAGAAACGATCATTTCTTATAATTATCTATTTGTCTGTGACATTTTATCTTTATCACATATTCTTGTCCATTCCTTTATCGTGCATGATTGTTGTCTTTGAATGAGTGTTTCAGATAGGGTAAAGTCTGGCTTTACGTTATATGATTTTTATTTATGAGAATGTCGGAACGTGATCCCATTTAAAAATTTAAAAAACAGCAACGACAACTGCAATAACAACAAGACCCTTCCCTCCCCAAAAACAACTTAAAGCAGGGTTATACATGAATACAAAGTCAGTTCATTGTTGTTGTTGTTGTTGTTGTTGTTTGGTATTATCGGCGTTTCATTCTTTTTTTAGAATATTTACGCCTTTCACTTTATTTATTTTTTTCTTCTATTTTTTGGTACTATTTGTAAATTCATACTCTTCTCTTTTTTGTTGATAATATAATCTCAGATCTGTCATCCAATTATTCAATTATACCCTTACCTTACTTCCGCTCTTTAGAGTTTATAGCCATGACAACGACCCGTACCCTCAGCAACGTTCATTGTTCCTCTTACGTAACTCAGCTGTGGGAACATGCATGGGCCAAAGACAAAGACAAAGCTCTTTTCGCACATTCTAT